CATCCCCTCCCACAGGGGGACCGTCCACATGTGCCTCCCACTGGACAAGCCCTGAGCTTGATGGGAGCGAGAGCCCGGCCGGTGTGGCTCAGTGGTTGAGCCTCGACCTAGGAACCAGGAGGCCAGGGTTCGATTCCCGGTCAAGATCACAGGCCCGTATCGCAGGCTCCATCCCCAGTAGGGAGTGAGCAGCAGGCGGCCGGTCCATGATTCTCTCTCCCTCTCCCTTCCTCTCGGAAATCAATACAAATACATTTTAAAAGTATATAAAATAAAATAAAAAAATGTTAGCCAACTGCAACTTGTCCACGGCCAGATTCAAAACAAGGGCAGCCCAGAGCAGGGATCAGAACCGAACCACACCGCCTCGTGAATGACCTGGGAACGCTTGCATCTGAACAGTCGTGTGCTTATCATGTGCACGGAATGTACACGCTTGTACATCCATGTACATGCTTGGTGGGAATACACGTGTGCATGCACGTGTGTCTGTATACATTCCTGTGCATGTACCATCCATCCCCAAAACAGACAAAGTTACATCTGTGTGTATTTCCTCCTGCCCCCTCCCCGGCACCCGTGAAATGCGGACACGTACACGTATGTGCCTTCCTGTGCACCTACGCGTGTCCGTATTTATGTCCGTTCCGTGCTCCATCACTCACTGGTCTTGCCCCGGCAACTAGTAGCCGCCGACAGCAGCGCCGTGGCCCTTCCGTGGGTTTGGCAGGCCGCACGGGAAACCGTGTCATGCCTGAGCCTTAGGAATTCCACCTGCTCCTTAGCACACGCTGACACGCCAACTACCAGGACATAGCATGTTTGCATAGCGTGTCCAATGGGGCAGGCATGCTCTCTACCTCCAACAGTTGTTTTTTTGGTATTTTTTTTATTGTGATCTTTTGTTGTTTTTTACGGGGCTACTAAACCCAAGACGGCCAGCGTTCACATGGAGATATTTTGTTATAGAAAAAAATAAACAGGGAAGATGCGATCAGAGGTGTCCCCGCTGCCTGCCCCCTTCCCTGTGGTCCCCGCCGCTGTCACGGAGCTAACTCGCTACGCTGTCCTTCGCGGGAAACCCGTAGCCGCGTCCGGAGGGTCCGGTGGGATGGCGTCTGTCCAGGGTGGGCTCAGTTTAGCATGTTCATGTCTGTTCTTCGTATTCTATTTCGACTGGCGGCCGCTTGTAACATCGTCCTGGTTCTCTCGCCGGTGAATTTACTTGAATAAAACTTTTCGCACCCGCTGACGTGATGTTTGTATGAAAGGATGATTTTACCTTTTCTTTTAAAAATACAAACAAATAAAATTGTCCTCTAAGAAATGTAAAACATAAGTGTGGCTAATTCTTAGTGCAATCACACTAATTGTACAATGTTGTGTGTACATAACACACACACACATATATACGTATATACACACATGTACACACACACATATACTAGAGGCCCGGTGCACGAATTCATGCAAGCGGCTCGGCCCTCACAGCCCCGGCTTCGTCCGGAAGGACGTCCGGAAGGTCGTCCGGCTGTCCGGTCTAATTAGCATATGACGCTTTTATTATATAGGATATATGACTAGTTGCCTTAGTTTCGTAGCTCATTGAACCTGGGCCTACAGCCTGCCTGGCTCACCCAGGGGCATGCACCCTGCAGAGGATATGGGGTGGGGGGAGACTAGAAATGAGGGTCACACAGGCCTGTGTTATATGCACGGAGCAAATCTATGCAGATATAACATCCATGCCCTATCGCTCTCTCTATATAATCTATTTCATATCTCTCCTATCTGCATCCACCTCTATCTCCTTCGGAACGTTGCTGTCTACACAGCTCAGGGAAAATCGAGTGTGGCTCGCCCATCTGTGCGATCCGATGGTTTTGGATTAAGGGGAAAATTACCATGGATGCATGCCATGTCTCTGGTGGGAAGCGTTACAAATCGGCGGCAGGCGTGTGCCCAGTTCTCCAGCCTCACGCCTGGTGCATTTGCATAGCGTGTCCCCATATAACACGGAATGTGGCTTCGGCTGCTTGTACAGTGGTCGGCACCCTATGCTGTGCCTGTGTGTGTGTGTGTGTGTGTGTGTGTGTGTGTGTGTGTGTGCGTGCGCACACGTATGTGTTAGACATTCTCTCACACACACACACACTTCTATCTTCACAAATGCTCTTTCCCCAGAGTGGATAACACTTTTTAAAAAAATATATATTTTTTTACTAGAGGCCCGGTGCACGAATTCGTGCACCAGTGGGGTCCGTTGGCCTGGACTGCGGGATCAGGCCAA